AACAAAATTACAAGGAAATGTGTTGCAACTGGAGATGAGAATGAAGAATCAGATCTTGGGAGTATAAGGTTAATAGTTGATAACAGTGTGTGGGGAGCCAAGTAACCTAAACAGCACTTATTATAGAGATTTATTCAGTGGACAGTATTATGCAGCCTTCGAACAACATAGTTACATTAACATAGCTAATTTAATACCCATGATACCTGCATACAACCATTTGTCCTGTTGGTATCTAACAGTGGAATCCATGCTGTGGGTTGAAGAACTTCACAGGCTGCTGATGTCAGGTAAGCAGAATCTGCAGACATTTTGAAAATTAGTCACCTGAAGCTGATGTTACCACATTGAATAAGAAATTGTAGCAAACCTCTGAAACTGAAATTTGGGATGATGATCTCCCAGAAAAGAAATAATTATCTCAAGAAACATAACATTAAAGGTTTTTAATGCAGTTGTCAATGAAAATAGGTGTTACCCTTTAACCTGCAGACATCTCCTCACCTTGATGCCATGGAACTGTTACTTGGGAGTTTTTAGGAGTCTGAAAAACACATGCCTATGATAAGCTACAGGCTCCTTAGAGAAAAATAATAATGCCAGAATTTCTCACCAACTTTGCAATGGTGGGACATACAGTGCACTGATGATCATAGCACACACTATTTACACATTAAGTGGAAGAATGTCAAAAAATTATACAAGATGGAAAAAAGCCACAAGCTATGACTTTCCATTGGTTGTACCTTTGTCCTCAAGTTCCAAACAGGATGACCACCAATTTCTGGTCCAATAAACTGTTCTATGACATTCAGCAGTCTTTCATTCATCCATAGGTCTTGAAAAGCCTAAAGTATGAACATTTCATTCAACTCATTAATCACTGAAATGATGTTTCTAGTAAAGATCATTTTATTTGTTTTAGGTATATATATATATATATATTTATATATACATAAGTTAAAGTATTAAAGAGGACGCATCGATTCCCTGTAACTCTGAGTTTTGTGCCTAAGCGCTCGTCAGACAGAACTTTTCTATAACTTATGTATACTAAGCTCTGCTACCACAGCATTGAGCACTTTATGCCAAGGTAGACTCTACCCCCAAATTCATTTACATATATATATATATGTTTATATATATTTCCCAATAAAAGGGGTAATAGTTTCTTAAGAAATTGTGATGCTATGTCGGTGGGAGAGTATATTAGGGTAATTAAGTATTATGAACTGAGTTGATGAGTTGAGTTTATTGGCCACCATAAAGAGTTTCAAAGCTGATGTTTCGAGCATTAGCCCTTCATCAATCATCCTGACTATGGGCTAACGCTGTGACTAAGGGCCATTGCTTAAAATATCAGTTTAGAAACTTTTTACTACAGCCAATTTATGTTATCATCTCAGTTGATAATGCCTAATTACCCTACATCTTTACTTACTTTTGGCATAATTCCATTCTTATGTAGCAGAACTGCTGCCCCTGGGAACTCCTTCTCAATTAATATCAGTCTATCAAAAAATGTGGCATTCTTGTACTTATCTGAATTTCAAGGAAAATAAAATTCATTTGCTATTAAATGATATTAAGACCCTTGAGGTCAAGAACAATAAAAGCTGGCAATGAAGGTTTATCAGTTAACCCTTTAACTCCCAAGATCTTATAGTTAATTCTTCCCCCGAGCTGCTACACATTTCCTTGTTAATTGGTAACAATAATTTGGTGTTCAATCAAGATAATATCTTGATTGATAAGTTTGAGTATTCTCATTGCCTGTTTGCTACTTAATGTACAAATACTATAAGGAGAGATTACATGTTAATCACTTCTGGGAGTTAAAGGGTTTATTAAACACTACATTCATTGGTTAAAAATCCTCAGAAATATGCTTTGACAGATACAGTGTTGAGAATTCATATTAAGATCTTAGCAGTAAATTTATAAGCCTACATATGAGGTCAAAAATAACAAACCAATGAAAAGAAGTTTTTTTTTCAATAAAAGAAATGAGATGTTCAGAAGTTAGAAAATGGCAACTTAATGAATATTCATATATGCACATACATACATGCATCCCATTCTCTGATTTCTTAAAGCACCCTCGGTTCTTCTCTACTTCCTTCTCCTCCCCCCCCCCCCTTCACCTTCCTCCTTCCTCTCTTTCCTTATGATATTGTAGTTTTCTCCAAAATAACTTTATCAGCCACTCTATACAGTAAAAGCAGCAGTTTTACCCTTTATTTTTCCTGCACTATAGAGTTTTTCTGCCAGGCCATCTACTAATTCACATATAGCTGTGATGATGGGTTCCAATTCACTCTTTTCAAAGAATTCTGGAACTAAAAGGAATCCCTGATACACAAAACAAAAAAAATTATTATCAAAATTAACATAATGACATGTGAATATACCTACATGTTGGGCCAATCTGATCAGAGAAAAAAAAAACAGTGGAAATAGATGGGTAGGGTTACAGCCAAATTTTGGGTTTTTTTTATCAGATTTGATGATCTAAATGAAATAATTTGAGAGAAATTCAACATACCATAATTGAGACAAATATCACACTTCTTGTTTAACCTAAGGGTGTCTCCCTCTCAATTTGGAGTGATAGGAAATGAAACGAGAAATAATGATATTTCCCATTCATAATACTCTACAGCAGGAAGAAACCACGAAAGTAGGATACTTTTTTAACCCAAACAAGATGCGTGAAAGATAAAATCAACATAGCTCAAGTCTCAGAGAACGTGGAGTATCTAAATACTACCTCGCTGAAATACTGCTGAACTTGCTCATCAGTGAGTTGTCCCTTCTTTTGCGCGGAGCTCGTCTTTTCCGGAGGATTTGTGAACAGCTCTGGTTGGGCAGAGGTGTAAGTTGGCATAATTAGCAAGAATCGAAACAACCTTAATTATAATTCCAACAATATTTCTCTGTCTACCGGATAAAAACAAAGAAAAGTAATTAAATTTTCATGTTCAATGATACGCATCACCAGAAGTGCTCGAGTCATGTGATGGGGCGTTCTGAACACGCCATTGATCATGTCCAAGTATAGATTGTCACGCAATTTTTAAACGAAAACATTTCTCTTGCATGCAGCCTTTCATCTGATTTTTTATTGAATGTGTAAAACCATTTGTAACACGGTAAATATAGTGAAATACGTGTTATGGAAGGATCTCCAGATCTCCAGCCCTTCCGATCGTGAATTCCTTTATCAAATCATCTACCCTGACTTGGATGGGTGCATTGTGATTTGTCTCTGAGTGAATAACGCTTTTCACCGCGGGCTCAACGATCGTAATTTGTAAACATGGCGTAGGAGAAACACTTAGAAAGTTGCAAGCCTTTGCAATTAATTTTAGGCCAATAATGCACTAAAAATCTCACGTTTTTACCAAAATAGGGTCCTGAAATTTCATAGATTATGGGATAGGTTGCATTTAAGCGATGGAGAAGTCACAAGGTAGGCATCGGAAACATGTTTGGTGAATGCCCAATCATGATAATCATTTAGTTTGATTTGGACCCGGTTTTTTTTAGCGCAACGGAGTTTTTACTGTTCTATACCCACTTTTCACTTTCTAAAGATTTTTTACTTTCCTTTGCACTAAAACTACACTTACTTAAGAATAATCTCTAATTTAATTATGTTTGACAAAAGCGAATGGTTGTTGTGCGCACCGTTTGAGTAGTGGTTGATAAAATAATACTTCCTCCGGCGCAATGATAAAGTCAGACTTCCATGGAAAGACATCACCAGGCAAAGGTATTTTTGTTTCACTCTACCGGCATCGATTGCATTTCTACCAAACCATCAAGAAGTAAACTGGACCGCTTGATGACCATAAAGTTTTTAGGACAGACCAGACTTATTTATACTGTTATCTCCCTATAAAAAATCAACAATTACCAGTAGACGTTTTGTCGGTTACGTCATTCTGTGCACCTTAGAATATGAGTTATTTTACTCTTGGTAACTTTATGGTCAGGTCCATATTTTATTTCTCTCAGGTCTCTTTCTTTCTGGATTTGGTCTCAACTATTTTGTTTAACTTGATAATATCAATTACAACTAAGCAATTTCAAAGAAAAATCTATCGGTTTGTTAGAAATCACAAAGAAATAAATCAAAGCAGATTTGAAAAGTATTCTCAATCAGAATTAAGCTAATCCCTAGTGCTGCAAATTGGATTGGAACTTAAGAAAAAACTGTTTTTAAGTAGGTTTTTGCTGTCAAAGTGGAGGACATGATGGGGCCTGATAATAAGTGGGCGCTATCCTTCACTTTGTTGTGGCACTTAAACTCACACTGTTCCTCTCATCACCCAGGTTCCAGTTGTTTGAAGGCTGATTAGCATTAACCTAGGGTTAAATTTCAATCCAGGTTGCCTGATTTCTTTGTTCAAAAGCCTTTAAGTGAAAATGTTTTTTCATTCTTTTTAGAACATCCAATGAACAAATTGCAAGCAAAAATATTTGAACTGAATTTTCTTCTTAAGCTTTTAGACTTGAAATCAAATTTCACACTAACCCTGCATTATCTTAACCCAGCTTTGAACAACCTGGGTTAGGAGTGTAAGTGGATACTACCAAACTTTCAAGAAAGCTGGGGATAACCTGTAATGGGTGAGCAATCTCCCATTTAGGAGGGTTATCAGAACTCTAACTGCTTTCATGTTAATGAAAGTGGCATAGAGCCACAAGGCTGCTTTAGACTTAGCTTTTCTTCATACAGAGATGTCTGTAAAGTTGCATTATTTTTCCTGCACAAAATCAATTCTTTTGTTGTTATTTTTGTGGCAGATTTCATTATTGGACGAGACACTGTTCTGGCAGAATTAGAACCACTGAGTGACCTGCTAGATTCCCTTCCTCACAAGGCGCAGTTTGGTCCCAAGAATTTGGTTGGCCATGTGTGGGACAAAACAAGAGAACATGGTGTGAAAAATCTGTTTAATACATTGAAAGAGAGAGTGCAGGAGAATACCAAGTCAATTCCAATTGAGTACACATGTGTGGATGTATCATTTGATGCTATTGTGCTTGGTACAAATATAGGAGTCATCTTCTTGTTTGATCGAACTTGTAAGAAGCTTTCAAGGCTGCCATCTGAGGTTGATTTAGTATTTTGTTTTGTTTTTAAGAGCTATTTCAGTACCAGTGTCCCTTTATACCCTAACATTAGTATAAATATTCACAATACTGGTACTGACCAGGAGAAATTGTTTACTTCATTACTTGGTGATCCTATCCTTTATTCTGGTAACCTTAATGTTCGATTTAGGAGGGATTTTGTAAGGAGAAATTAGATGTTAGTCTTTCTTTGAGATCAAATGGTTCACACATTTAACAAACATCTCACTCTTAGAATAATTTATGACTATAAATAAATTAAATAATATAATTCTTCAAGGCCCAGGGGTCCATGACTAAATGAGGCAACAATTGTTCAATGTATATTGGGAGCTGATGATATTTTTAACCCTTTCACTCCCAAGATCTAATTAGTAATTCTCCTTACTATCTGCCATACAATTCTTATGATGTTAGTTCAGAGAATTTGGTATTGGATCAACTAATAATCCCATGATTGATATTCTCCTCTATTCTCATCACCTGTCTGCTTGATATTGTATTGACACTGTAAGGAGAAATTCTGTCTTGGTCACTTGTGGGAGTGAAAGGGTTAAAGTGGTTGAGGGTAAGGTGGTTGTCTGACATTATGCCCTTTAAAGCAAAAATAGCCAAAATGGTGTTTGGTGGTTTCTGAGTTATTTTTAAGAAGTTAGAATTTTTTTTTTTTGAAGTAGATGGTTTTGGACTTCAAGGGTTACAATTGAAACACCTTTATATTGAAAGGAGTCATTGGCAAAATCCTGACACAGGATGTTTGAAAGGGTAATAAATCCAAGCAGTTAGATAAGTCTCTCTTGTGGAGTGTGAAGTAGCTGTTTTTGGTAAGGGCATAATGTTTCTGATGTATGTTTAATAATTATTATTATATAATAATGATAATAAAAATAATATTATCTACAATTCAGAGAACCAATTCTCTCAGAACTTATTTCAATTCTAACAGCCTGAAGTGACTAAGGTTACCAACTCCTTCCTGGTTAAAATGCCAGTCCATGGCAAGATTACCCCCTCAAATTGCACCAGGTTTGAATGACAATTTGCAGCTATCCATGAATGACATACACAAATAATCCTTCCCCAGGAATGCAACATAATTACTCAGGTGGAACCTGGACATTTCAATGCTTAGTCCAGTGTTGTGACCACCTGGCAACCATGTCTCCTTCTGTGATTACACAAAGGATCTCTATTGGACATTTCAATCTATTGTAACTTTTCAGGTCACTCATGAACCAGCCAGATGTACAAAGCTCTTACCTACACACAGTTACACAGCTGTGGGATTCAACAGTGGTTTAGTGACAATTTTCACATTTGTTCTGGCATCACAAGGGTTTGGAAAGGTAATTTTATGATTTTAAAAAACAAAACCAAACTTGGCCTCTTGCCAGGTTAGTCAAAAACCAACCCCTTGTATTTCATTGGATCGGGTTGCTTAGCCTTTAATTTGGTTCCCCAATTGAAAATGATGGTTTGTTTCCCATGATTTTTTATTCTATACTGTTCTGGTCCATTAGTCTCATCCCTTAGATGAGGTTAAGATTATTGAAGATGAGGCCATTTCCAGCAGTGTAACCATGTTTAATATTTCAGAAAACTTTCAAGGTGAAACAAGAATATGTATACACCACTAACACATGAAAACATTCCCAGCATGCCCAATTAAGGCTGGTAATGCAATGTGTGACAGAACGTATACACTTTCTGTGTGAATTTATACTTCTATGTTCCCACACAGCCTCAGACAATGCATGTGAGCGGAGCCCATAACAGTCCAGTGGCCTGTTTGGAGTGGTCCCCTGATGGTGAGCTGCTCTACACTGGAGATGCATTGGGCACAGTTTTTGTTACAGTTACCAACTTCCAAAAGGTAATGATTATCAGATATTTTAAGGTAAAGTCAGTGGAACAAAGTAATTTGGTAAATGTAAGTTGGCCACTGTTAAGAGTTTCAAAGCTAGTGCTTTGAATCTTAGCCCTTTGTCAGAGCATCAGTGGAAGCTTTGGTAAGCAAGAGACTGGCATCTGGCATATTTACTTGCCACAGAGACTGTGTGGGAGAAAATAATTGATAAATTGTGAAGTTGGCTGTCAAACTTGTGACTCACTCTTTTGGCTCTTATCTGCCTGTTCTATATGGTGACCAGACTCCTAGAGTTATTGTTAGTAATATTTTTATATGTGGGTTCTGCGGGATATTAAGTTACTCTTAGGGGTGTTGTGGGTATCTTTGTTTGGATTTAACAAATTATTTTTTCCCTCATATCCAGGGTTTGACCCAGACAGCCATGATGTTCCAAGAAGCATCTCCCATTGTTCAGTTGTCATATTCATGGGAAGCGCTTTTGATTTCATCCAGGAAAAGAACAGTTCTATGGAATTTTGGCAATGAACAGGTCACTCAGATTGGGCAGAAGGAAAGGAAAAGGTAATTAAAGTACAGTTGTTAGAGTTAAGGAATAATCACTTCTGATCTATGACTCATTCATATCCTACTTGAGAATTCCTTAAAACATATCACAGTCAAGGGATCAAAGTGTGCCCTTTTTCATTAACCCTTTACCTCCCATGAGTGACCAAGACAGAATTTCTCCTTACAATATCAATACAATATCAAGCAGACAAGTGATGTGAATAAAGAAAAATATCAATTAGGAGATTATAAGTTGATCCAGTCCCAAATTGTCCAAACTAACATCACAAGAACTGTATGGTAGACAGTAAGGAGAATTACTGATGAGATTGTGGGAGTTAAAGGGTTAAATGTCATGGAACCAAAATTATCACAATTGGCAAAGCAGTGTTTTATCAAGAGATCCAAAATTATGGATATATAGTGTAAATTAGCCACATTAAATAGTTTCTAAGGATTAGCCCTTGATCGAAGGTTAATGAGAATAAAGAAAAATATCAATTAGGGGATTATTGGTTGATCCAATTCCATATTCTCCAAACTATCATCACATAAATTGTATGGCAGACAGTAAGGAGAATTACTCATGAAATCTTGGGAGTTAAAGGGTTGATGCTTGAAGCATCAGCACTTAAATCTCTCTCTGGTAGCTAATTTACATTATTAGCTCAGTGGATAAAAATAAATTATCTTGTAATGCCCTCCATCATCGCAGTACCATAATTTCTTTAGAAACTCATCCCCTTTATACAACTGGAAAATATTTGGGTTTGCTTTACCCTGCTCTGCGATTGGTCCAGAAAACTCTCACCTTTATCTCGACCAATCAGCACTGCACTGTGGGCAGTTTACTTGTTTTTCTCTTTATTATTATATTTATTTTTATGGTTTCAACGACACTCTGTCCAAACACTCTCTTAGGGGGGTAGAATGAGTTTTTTTTTTTTTTTCTTGTAACCAATCAAGAACGTTATGATGCAAGGCGAATGGAATCTCGTATTGCATTTCAAACTCATTTGGGAAATTACTCTTAAAAGCTCAATGTTTTCTCTGGTTTTAGTCCTGGACAGTTTGGAGCCCTGTTTTACCCTCCGGCTAAAAGAACTGCAGATGGCAAGTCCAAGGAATCGCTTGAAATATACACCTCGCGGCCAGGGTTGCGACTGTGGACGGCTGATGTCAATGGCAAGGTTTCTGTTACGCTGATGTACAAGGGCTTGACAAACGAAAACCCTCCAGGTATCAGCACGTTAGATCCCCCACCTCCCTGTTTAACAAAACTCCCAAAGGATTATCAAGCGCAGTTTGGCCCCCTGAGACTATACCACGGGCAGTTCTTTGTCACATGGGATGTATCTCGCCTTTGGGTCCTGGACACGTCTCCTTGTGCTCTGGTGGGTTACCATGGTGACCTAGGTGATATTGTGGACGTCAGTACCGTAGGGCATGAGATCTACGTTTTGCAACGGGGCGGGCAGAGGCAATTGATGAAGCTGTCTCTGATTCCTAAACTGGCCAATCCTTTGTTGGATGTCGTAGCGCTGTTGGAGCGAAGCTTCAAGGAAGACGAGGAGGATGGTTTACAGCCTCACCAAGAATCTAGCGTTGAACGCAAGGATCCCAGATTACCTGAGGGAATCCCGAATGGGGTTTGTATCTGGTTTCAGTAGTGGTAGGCACTTAAGTGAGCTACCCACAACGTGTTACTTGCTGTCTTTAAAATTCTGTCATTGTTGCCTTTTATTTTTGAGTGTCTGATATGTCCAATTTGTTTGATTTATTTTAGGGAAACGCTTCAAAACCTCCCTCGTGTGAAACCGAATCAAACAAAGTAGAAGCAGAAACAGCTGTAGCAGCAGGACCTGACCCTTTCAAAAAATACCAAGAGATAAGGCATCAAGAATTTGGGGAAATTGTGTTCCGGAAAAACAAAAAATCAAAGAAGAAAGCTAACAAAGGTATCTTCTTGAAATTCACAAGCATAGCTAATTTGTAAAAAAAAGAGTGCAAGGTCGTTGCAGTGCCATTGTTACTAGGGACCTTAAGGCGTTTCTTTGGAAGGAGTCAATGAGAGAAATAATTCGTATATTTCCAAAGAATTTCGCGGGTGGCTCTATGTGATTACCGTCTTTAAGGACACCAGACCTCAACTTTAGATGTGAGAAGTGTTCAATTCCAAAAAGAAACAAAAATAATTCGCCGTCGTGGTTCCCTTTCTCAGACCGCGCAAATTTTATTGATTTCACGTCGCTGTCTTGCAGAGGACGCTCAGGATGGCTTAGAAATGCAAGAGTTAAATGCTTTTTTCCCCTTTTGTCGCTCATTTCCTCTCGTGAGCTGAAGAAATGTATTGTGTGCTTTATGGGTAGATTTATGTTCGTTGGAGACATTGCTTATGTAATCTTCTCCTCTGATTTCTAGGTGTAGAACCTTTGCGAAAAACAGCGGCCCAGTCTCACGATGACGTCGAAGATCAACCAGCAGAAAATAACACACCAAGCGAACACCCTGACTTACTTCTTCCCCCAGATTCAGACAAGAACCGCAGTGACGCTGTGGACCTACCCGACTCTGCGTTAAATAGATTGTCAAACATCTCGTCAGATTTCGACTCTGCCGAGCGGACGAGTGGAGAAAACCAAGACTCAGAGGGAGAGGGCGGAGACAATTATACCTCGCCCCATTTGATGGTTGTTCACGTTACAAAGGAAGGGGCACAGGAAAAACATGAAGTCCGCGAAGACGTCAGCTACTCGTCTTGTGTTACACAAGAAGATTCGAGATGTCAAAATGACAGCGTGACCATTCAGGATAGTTGCGTGACTAAGGTTGAACTTACTGTTGAACACGAGGGGAACGTGACTTGGTTTGAAAATGCTGACAAATGTAGTACTTCTCCATCTTCTGCCAACATGTCCGACGAAACACTCTCGCCTGACAACAGTTTATGTATGGATTCTGTATCTCTGTCAACAAGTACGATGATCGAAGACAGTGCTGTAACCGAAGACTCCACACTGAGCCCAGAAGACTCGCTCAGCACTGATTATTTGCCGGACATTTATTCCAATACACCTGTCAATATTTCTGACGCAACTTTTTCGGATGCTTCGGTTGAGAAATCCACACGCTCTAAAACCCGGCTCAGAAACATGTCCGGCCTCGGATCCGCTTCGTCGCTGAAAGAAGGAAGTGATGTTCCAACGGATTCCGAAGGTACCCCTCCTGTCTACCTTGACCTAGAGGGGGCCGAAGAGCTCAGCGATACTGCCTCTTGGTCCCGTTATCTCTCAAGAAGGACCATGAGTGATGCCGAAATAGTGAACCACGAGGATGCACCTGCTCTTGAAGGGTCATTTTCCTCCACCGGTTCCGGCTCCTCGCTATCAAAGTCCCCTGGATCTACCAAAGAAGGCCTACGCCTCCTCGCGGACAGCTGGGCGGACTACAACCCACCGGGGCAGGGTTACGTTCAGTTTGTAGCTGTTTCAGATACTCATATTTGGTGCATTACTTCTTACGAAAACATCTTTTACTGCCCTACTCACTACTCTGTTGTGAATTGGACTCAGCTCGCTGGCTCAGCAAAAATGATAGCTGTTAACAACACCGGTGACGTCATTTGGAGTATTGATCGTAAGAACTATGCGTATGCGCGTTTAGGGGTCAGCAAGAATCACTTGACTGGTACGAGGTGGCAACCAGTAGAGAAGGACATGCGCTATGTGGCTGTAGACGAAACAGCAGTTTGGGGAATAAAGGTTAGTGTATTGAATATGTTTGGGAGATGCCGTGCCCTATGGTTTGTGCGCTGGTCTCTGGCTTGAGAGGTCTGGGTTCAAGACCTTGCCGGGTCAATGTATTGTGTTCTTTGGGCGAAACACTTAACTTTCAAAGTGCCTCTCTGTCTCCACCCAGGAGTATAGATGGGTATCGGCGCATTGTCAAGGAAGCCTTATGAAATCCGGGGGGGGGGATAACCTTGCGATGGACTGAATATTTCTACCGGGAAATGCGCGCTGTCATAGGTCGATTGGTGTTTTTAGGTGAGATTCGCACGTACTTACGTGGAAGGACTTTTGCGTGCTTACATAACTCATCTATACGAGATGCGGGCTGGGAGAATTCTCAAAAGTTGAAAAACTTCTCCCATTCCACCTTCCAGCCTTCTTGTTTAGATGGGCCCATTTATACATGGAAATAGTCCTCTGTGGTTAGATCCAACGCTGAAACAGGAAATTCACTTTTTCTCTTTTTCAGTTAAATGGCGACATTTTTGTGAGGACGAGCATCTCTAATAATTGTCCCACAGGAAAAGGATGGCGAACGATTTGTACAGACTCAAGATTCATGCAAGTCTCGTGTTTTGATGGACTGGCTTGGTTCTTGGACAGAGGAAACATCATCCATGTCTACAAAGGTGCTTTACTTGATAAGCATCTCTCCCATAACTAAATAACACTTTTCTCCAACGGAATTGAGTTTCAAAAAATTACCAGATTGTTAGGGAACGAAGGAAGTTGGGCGCAAATATGTCATAATTATTTTGATTGAAAGCTTAACCTGTCTTTTGTTGTCTCGATATTAGCTATTAATTACAAAGGAGTATCAAACTGTACTCATTGTACAGTCCATCCCTCAAGTGGCAAAATGCAAAATTTAGTTCGACCTTCCCATAAAAGGTAATAAAGGCTATTACCTTTCAATGCGGTAAGAAGGGCTTACAATATTTCGTCCCCTTTCGGGACCATACAGTATTTTCATAGAAATTCTGAAGGTAAACTAATAAACGAGAAAAACCTGGATAGAAAGGAAAAACAGTTATTACGAATGGCTCCCTTTAGGCTAAATCTTGAAGATGCTTAAATAGTGGCGTCAAAAACGTTCCCTCTTATCTCGCTACCTGCAGGAGACAACAGTTCGCGTCCAGGTGAAAAAGAAAACTGGGAGACTCTTAAAGGTAAATTAAAAGTAAAATATCAGTTGAGAAAAAAGTTATTCAAGCAATTCCCCGAGCAAGTTTCAATTTTGCTCTCACTCCTTTCCTCCTGTTTTATTATATTTACTACCTCTGTATTTGTTTTGTTTGTTTGTTTGTTTGTTGTTGTTGTTGTTGTTGTTGTTGATGTTTTCTGATTGTAATGCGTTCAAATATGATGAATTTTTGGAATTAGACTTTGGTCGACTGGCCCGCTAAGGTTCGTATCAGGTAATCGCGGGTCAGGACAATTATCATAGTTTACAAGATACTTAAAAGGTAAAAGTAAACACTGTCATTAGTGTTTAAAGATAATTTTAAAAGAGCTACTAATTTGTGCCCATACAGCAAGCACCACCTAACACAATAAGCCAGTACTCAATATAGTGATGGTGAACTAAAATTTGTAAACAGAAAAAGTTGGTGTGAATCTCCCGTTAGGAATCGAAATGCCCATCCAGATCTCGATGCTCGACCAACTGAGTTCCAAACACTCCATGGTGAGCTGGGCATTTACTTAGGTGTATGGGCCAAGTTGACAAAAACAATTATTTCATAGAATCTATCGTCTCGTACGTTCACTGATTTTCAAGCTACCATAATTGATTTTATGTGGGCGTACCTGTTACTTTCAGATATTTCGGCCAAATGGGTTTGCCTTGGAATAGAAGGAGTAGCGTGGATTGTGGACACAAAGGGCTGCATTTGGTTCACTAACGTTGCTAGCGAAAATCCAACGGGTGGCACGTGGTATCAGGTCTCTCTCGGCCAATACTTGATGCAAAACCGCAGCTTACTTGAGACGCTTTGGTCCTGGGTTGTACGAGATGACGTCAAACTTTTGACCGCCAGCCCTAAAGCAGGAGTCTGGTTATTAGGGAGTGTAGGCTCTCTACAGGCCTCGCACGGTCACTTGCTAGGGGCTCGTTGGGATCCTGTGACACCACAAGGAATTGCTCAGTCTGTGTCCTGGTCCCATATGTCTGCAGGCTCAAGCAAAGGTGACAAAGGTCACGTGTTGGCTTTACAACCCAATGGGGAGCTTATTTGCTTGCAGTTGGGGAACCGCCCTGTAACTGTCGAACCACCTCGAGGCAAAGTTTTAAAACTAATTTCTGCGTCGGGTTCTAGCCTTTGGGCCATAACGCACAACTTCAAAGTCGTACAACGCTCAGGAATTTCGGACGCATATCCGCAAGGGGTTAGCTGGGTGGAGGTGAGACTATCTCAGTTCGGTATTGGTAAAGTTTACCACCTCAGCTGCGGTGCACTGAGCACCTGGGCCGTTGATGACGCTGGAAAAATCTTTCTACGGATAGGCAAGGAGGACTCTTCGGACCCATCTGTCACTCAGGCGTGGATCCCAGTTGAAGGCGCTTCTCTACCTGGCTGTCGATTTGCTAAAATTGCTGTAAGCCCGTCCGATCGCGTGGTCTGGGCAGTGGACGATCGGAACAATGTTTACGCTCGCCAAGATGTCACACCAAGCTTCCCTATAGGCACCAGGTGGGAGGTTGTTCCTGGCACGGGTGTGCGAGACTTGGCCATCAGTGAACACATGGTCTGGGCGATTTGTCCCAACGGGGACATCGTGTGTCGGTACGGGGTCAGCAAAGACAACTGCTTGGGTCACTACTGGAAGAAAGTCCCTGGGAATTTTGAACTTATCTCCGTGACTCCCGATGATGAACTCTGGGCCATCGATCAGAACGGCCAGCTGTTTCTGCGCAAAACGCAGCATTTTTATGGTACCCAGTCTCCGTTTAGGCCTCGAACATACAGCGCTATATTTTCTGGTGAAGAGGACTGGGAGTTTATATAGTGTGTGTGAAATGTGTTTTAGATGTAACGAATTCTTCAAGTTATAAATTTTTGTTTTTATGCGAAATTATGATGTTAGAAAAAATTATTTCGAAGATTTCAGATTGTGTAGAATATGCAAAACTATACAGAAATATTAAATTTTAAAGTTATAACCGGTATTTCACAAAGTTTTCCAGTGAAAACTTAGACTATAACTTTGTGATGAAGTTTTTATTCGAAGGCTGCAAACAAATTTACTCAATTTAAAACAATCAAGTGGTATGTAATTAACTCAAGGTTCAATCAATTGTCATCTCCTTTGTAATAAAAAGAAAGCAAAATTACGATGAGTAGCCCCCCTTTCGAGAACGGGGCGGTTGGTTCGCTCTTCATTTCTTAAAAATGAACAGTATTTCAAATGTCGAACCATTTTTCTTTCAAGGAAAAACTTGGCAATTGTTAAGGTTTACATCGTGTGTTAAGAGATGTTATTGGATGACATTAAACGAAGTGAAGCTTTTTAGTTAAAAGGATATTTTACAACAAAATCATTGTTTTTTTCCTCTGTTTTTGAACATGTATTGTTTGTGGAAATAGCGTTTGAGGGCTGAGGTTGAAAACCTGCTGCAGTTTTGACATATTTGGCTTTTCGACGGTGCACTATAGGTTGTGAAACTGCTGCACTTGGAAATCCTCCTCGTGCTTTGTAGCCATTAAGTTTGGTCGTTTGTACCTCTGTTATCTTGTTGGAAGGGAATCTTTGTATTTGCTTTTGTTGTTAATCAGTTTTTCAACAAACCCGAATAAAGTAAACTCGAAAAATTTTGAATGATTTCTGAATGTTGGTAGTTCTCTGGCACAGTACGCACGCGGCCAAATAACAATACTGAAGGGGAACAAAACAAAAACAAAAACTGGAAAAAAATACAGGCGTTTACCGCAAACTTCCTGAAGGCGCTTCTATTAAATTGAAGCCGCCTCAGTCATCACCGGTAGCCGCTTTGTTTTCCTTGCCAATAACACGTAACCAGTTTTAAGAATCGATTAGAAAAGTTTCAAGGAGAAGAAATGAATTTAAATTTTCTTCTTGCATTTGATTCAAAATTTTGAAAAATTACATTGAAGGAAGCAAGCTAATTTTGCTCCATTTCCATGCGTACTTTTTTAACTGCATCGAGCTGACGTCCGGATATGATGAATAAGCTTCTCCAGTCTATCTCGTTTTCGTTACTCTGTTGTGTGCGAGGAACTGGAACTAGCTAATTCCAAGATGGCCTCCGTGGAAGAGATTCGAACTAGGGTTAGTCTGCAAGAACACGATGTCATAAACGTAAGTCTAGTATTTGTGTCGTGGTATATAGTTTTCTTAATACATTATTTCTGATCTTATCAGATGTTTTGTTCCTTTAGACGCATAGCACAGACTTTCCTGGTAATTACCCAGGCTATGATGACACGTGGAGTCAGGAAAAATTCGAAGAGGTAATTATTTCAGGTGTCTCTTGCTGCAAAATCTTTTGATTTGTTTTGCTTATTTTTATCACAACTGTAGAATTCACAGTGAACTAGTTGAATTTGCAAATGGTAAAGTTTAAGGATATAGGGCCACTCGTTTACATCCTATCGAGTTACATTTGCGCTCATGCTAGTATGGTGTTCAAACAGTCCACAAACTGGACTTAAGGTGCTTGGATTCTTTATTTGCATCTTTATTTGGCCTGTTTCATCTTTATTTATCTATTTTTTTTGTTTTTAAAACTTTCCAATTTCATGAGCTTGAAGCACGATTGCACAGAAACCACTTGTTTCAGTCAAGGGCAGTGTTATCATCTGAGGACTAACTTGCTGGTTTTCTGTCGTGTTTGTCTATGATGTTTCTTCAGTAGAGTTTTGTGACATAATTTTCTTAATTTTTTTAATGCACGTATGTCAATGATATGAATGCCTCATGCATTGCGTGCAATTATATCAGGGCCTTATTTACTCCATTTTACATCTGAGCTGATGCTACAATTCATTAACATGTAATGAAAAGATGTAGATGTGTTTAGAAACGATGCGTCTTAAGGGTAAAAGCCTTTAAATGATAGAATCAGTGTAACCAAAGGCCTTTACTTACTTAAACTTTTGGGAATGCCCATTTCTTAGAGGCTTTTATGGAAGCAGAGTTTCACAAATTCTAACAATAGAACTTTACAAGAGCTTAATCTTGCCTCATTTGGCAAGCATAGAAATGGATATGCTATGAATTGCTCATCCTGCCTTTTTAATTTAACTTCACAGAAATTTTGTATTGAAATAAAGCACTTGGATGGGAGTGAACTTGAATTTGATATGATTGGAGTTGATGCTGCTATTGCAAATGCTGTGAGGAGGATTTTGTTATCAGAGGTGAGTGTATTTTCATTCTAGAGAGGCTTTTTTGATCAAAGTTTATTGGATACTCTAAACTTGAGTCTATATAGTATTTGAGGTGCAACTGAAAGCTATGTGCTATGTATGTTCCATTAAAATAGGTTCCAACAATGGCAATTGAGAAAGTTTTTATATACAACAACACGTCTATTATCCAAGATGAGGTATGGTGATGACAATTTTTATTCTTTTTAAATTGTATTGTGTGTGGTTTCTGGGGCCTTTTTTCATGCTGGAGGGGATGGCAGTTTGCTTTACCGAATATAGGTTATCACCCACTCCAAGTACCAAGAAGTGTAGAGGATAAAAACCTCCCCAAAAGTTGGTTTTAAAAACTCAGGGTTGATGTGAAATTTGTACGTGGCAACCTATGGATTCTGCCAACTCATCATTAGCAGTTACATTTTTCTTTTTTCAGTAAAGTTTTCTATCTAGAGACATGTCTGCAGTCCTCCAAATATCTTGTAATATTTTTTGTTTCCAATGCTTTGAACAGAAAATACCAGCTTAAAAGCTCCAGTAGCAATTTTTAAATCTTGGATTGTATGGACAGATTTATTCTAACTTCAGTGTCTCATCTTTTTCATATCTGAAGGTATTGGCTCATAGGTTAGGACTCATTCCAATTTATGCAGATCCCAGAGAATTTGATGTTAAGATGGATGGTAAGTTGTTCAGGAGGAATTTAGAGGAACATTCTCTTTTGGTAGGTGTGGAAAGTTTTTGAAACAGAACCATGACCATGTTATGTATTGATTTCTCCAAAGGAGATGAGGAAGCTAAAGATAACACGACACTACAGTTTGACTTAAAAGTTAAGTGCATCAAAAACAAGAATGCACCAAAGAATGCCACAGACCCTGATGAATTATATGTAAACTCCAAAGGTAACAGTTAATAAATAAATTAATAAAAGAAGTTTAATTCCACCGTCATTGCAGTTAATCTGAATTACAATGTGGTTACAGTATAAGAATTACATATTGTTAATCAGTAAGGGACTGGGTTACAATAGATTTTGTATTCAAATTACAAATACAAGTTAAAATATATATAAAATCTTTTGATTGTTGAGAGCTAAACTAGTACTTGGAAATAAACTATGGTGCAATCTTTCAGTCCTGCATTTAGTTAATGTATATTTGCTAGCGCATCTCGTTTGATAGTGATGCATGCACTGTCGTCATTGGGAGATGTTTAATGAGAGGTCCTCCTCTTGAGAAGGAGGTTTCATTATGTTATCTAATTGAATAATATATGTTGATTTCTATATGTTACATAATTGAAAAGATACTTACCAGACAGGACTAGACCAGACTAGACCACATTAGACTGATACAAGTGAGCCACAGGATATTCCATGGTGTACCATTCATAAGTTTTTGCACTTTATTTTAACATGTCTTTGTTTTTTCAGTTACTACAGATCACCTAAAGTGGGTGCCAATTGGAAATCAGGCCAGGAAGGTGCACTTAGCAAAATAATGAATTTATTACTGTCACATGAAATCCTGTTTTCTTAATTAATTGGTGTATTTGAAATTAATTGTGTGCATGCCAAAGTATGAGTTACAATACAGAAATGAAATGAGGCTGCAGGTAAAGTTCCTTTTTTTCTTTTCTTTGTTTTCAAGTGTCTCCCAGTAGTTGTATGAATTTTGCCTCACTGTGCTGGCATTTTCCTATAGTTAACCCTTTCACTCCCCAGATCTCATTAGTAATTCTCCTTACTGTCTGCCATACAAAGCTCACAATGTTACTGTACATGTACTTTGGAGAATTTGGTATTGTATCTACTAGTAATCCCCTTATAATTTTTTTGTTAATTCTCATCACTTTTCTGCTTGCACTTATACTGTAAGGAGAAATTATGTCTTAATCACTCAGGCTGTGAAAGGGTTAAAATTAGACTGTACATTTTATCAGAAGTGGTCTAAATGGAGTGTGTGTTGTTTGCAGAAAGCAACATTGGTGCTGTAAGTGTAAGTGACTTCAAGGTTCTGTGCAGTTATCACTCAATTGGTGACGCCTTTTTTTCAGTATGGCCCACAGGATATCAGACCAGTTCTCAATGATATACTGATTGCAAAGCTCAGACCAGGACAGGTATCAACATCCTTTTGTAATTACTTAATTTAGACTAGTTAAACTGACCTACATGTGACGTTGCAATAACACAGAGGAGTGGGAAACTTTTTTTACATGTACTAAATTCAGACTAAAGACAAAAGATGAGAACTCCACACTTGTGATACCCTGAGAACTCTTAAAGCTAAACTTTTTAAGGCTGATCACCTACACAAGGTGTAACCAAAACCATGGTTTTAGGCAAGCAGTGGGCCTCAGGCTTTTCTTTAAGAAGTTGATTTGATTGCATAAATTTCCTTCCATTGTGGGCTTTTGGTCCTCTTAACAATGAAAGGACGTTAATTAATGTCTGATAAAAGATTCAGCTAAATTGAAGATAGTTTAGGGCACAGTTTTGTTAGACAATAGCTGAACTTTGTACATTTAAACAGATGTTAAATTTTGTTGGATCTAGATAAGAAACAACACAGCTGTAGTCTGAGGAGTTTTTGTAACTAGTCATTTTCATTTTTTTGTTCTCTCTTCAGGAATTAGATCTTAAGATGCACGCAGTTAAAGGAATAGGCAAGGACCATGCGAAGTTCTCGCCCGTTGGTATGTAAAATGTATCAATCGTGGAATGTTTGTGAACTTTTGCTTCAGAAGAAGACAAAAACAGAGGTCGTAAAGTTCACGGATCAACATCAGTATCTGGGCAACTGCCCACCTACCCCTCCCTTAACTCAACAACAGTCAATTGATAACAAGTTAGGGTTAATGTTGGGTTAGGGGAGGGGTAGGTGGGCAGTTGCCCAGATACTGATAGTGATCCAAGTTCACTTTCTCTCACTTCAGCCACGGCATCTTACAGACTTCTTCCAGAAATAACGATCGTCAAACCCTGTGAGGATGAGTTGGCTGATAAATTAGCGCAATGTTTCTCCGAAGGTGTCATTAAAGTGGAAAATGAACACGGTATGTGACATTGAATAGAATTTTGTCAAGTTCAGGGGTGATCGATGAACTCTGAAACATTGTAATGACTAAGGAGGTTGCTTACTAGCACATTTTGGGAAACGCTCTGTCCCAATAGTGAATACGCAAGGCATTGGGTGAAAAAGTCTACAGGCTCAAGCCATGGCGGAGACCATTATGTTTGGCTCTTGGGTTAAATACTTTACACCTTACGTATTGCCTCTTGCCAACCAAGAGTGATATAGGGGATGCCAGAAATATGTCGCAGATTTGACATTGGCCGGAATCTCATCTGATAGGAAATGCGCCGACAGTCTCGCGATCCACTTTCGTGTGCAGACGTGACATTTGACGTGGATCTTGAGAATCTGCTTGCGAGTGAGGCCAATGTGGTTGGGACCAAGTCCTGACTCAGCACTCATGACAGGGTACTTATCAGAGAGAGAGGGAGTGAGTTCTTAGAACGTTTCTGACAAATGACCGGGTTTTTTTTTTTTTTTTGCATTGCTATTGTAGGAGTCAAACGAGCTGTGGTAGCCGACTCGAGAAAAGACACATGTAGCAGAGAAGTATTTAGACACGATGTACGTTTGGCCTTACCTTGTTTATTTCCGCTTTAAAATGTCGAAATTCTTACGTTTATCCTGTATTTTTTGCTGTGGCTTTGCTTTCTCGACGGATGAATGTGAACAAGAAATGAAAGACACGAAGCAAAACAAAAAATTCGACAAGATCAAGTAAACTTTTTCTAGTATCGTAGCAAAAAAATAAAAAAACACGTGAGGGAGAAGGCTTTTTACTCGTCAAAGTGACTAACTTTGTAATATATACAGTGTTGCATGTTAGGCTGGGTATCGTATACACTTGCATAAATGACGTGGACTACTGCTTCATTTTTCTTAGGATCTAAAGAATCGAGTCAAGCTCTCACGGATTAGGAACCATTTTATATGTAAGTTGGAGTGATCAGTGAGTCTCTTCCGGCTCATCTTCATCGTACACGTGATGAATCTTTGCCAGAGAAGCAGATCCGCTCTGTATTGTGCTGGTCTAGTGTCCATGTTCTTTATTTGAGCTACGTATGTTTTATTTGATGCTTAGGATGTGGTTATTTCAGAATCAATGTAATATAATGGCTAGAATCCGAATACTTGGGATGTGAAATTATTTAATATAGAAGGATGTTAAAATGAGGCTAAATTTAGGCGAGGTTAAACTCAAGAAAATGCTGTCTAGCGGTCTCAGGCTCTAATGGGATGGGGGGGGGGGGGGGGGGGGTGGTTCCGAGGCCTGTGTTTTTATAGCGCTTTGTTCGGTGCTAAGCCCTTATTATAATAATTTTGCGAAGGTGACTCGCGAACTGACTGTACTGTTGTGTGCTTTGTGTAGTCTCCGTGGAGTCAACTGGTGCCCTTCCTCCAGATGCACTGGTTTGTGAATCCATTAAAGTCCTAATGGGAAAGTGCAGACATTTCCTCTCCGAACTGGATGGCCAGTCTCTAGACACTTGAGTTTCCACTTCATCTAGTCCATGCGTAGAGGGAAAACTTCGACATTGTTTGGCTCACCCAGCTGAATACTTGCGTTTTCATGCTTCCTGGTCCGTGCGAGAACAAACACCTTATACAACGGTATTGTTTAGCTAGCCTGTAACGGATGAGAAGTGAAATGGAATCAGACTTCCCAGATGCCACTGTCATCTATGAAAGTGAAACTCCAAGCCGGAATTGTAATAATTGTTGCAACAGTGTTGAATATGTAGAACTGATAACACCAAGCTTACCATCTCTTCAGAGCGCTTTTCGATTAAGTGTGGTAAAACCGAAACCAGACAAATCAAAATGGCTAATCGGAAGAAAGAGAGAGAGAGAGAGACAGAGGGGTGCAGTCATCTAGACCAATCACAGAGCGAGGTCAGGCTAAAACAAAGTAAGCCCGGATCACTTTCGACACTCAACTGAAAATTGTTCAAATTATCTTTCATTGGTAGCTTATACGTTTTTTATGAATGTAAACGAGAAAGTAGAGGAACAAGCAAACGTGTTCATAAAAACACCACGAACATCATAATGACTGTCAATACACTATCCACCTTTATAACAATAAAATTATGAAACTATCAAGTCTTTAGGCAATTTACCAAGATTGAGACGTTTTGTCCCAATAACTGTATTGCTTAACATATATCGTTCTCTCATTGAAAGTTTCTTGTCTTATGGCCGGTAGCAGTCTGGGACCAAGCTGCCCAATCAGAGTTGGAAAAAAATTGTCAATCCCTTTAAATTTCATGCTTTACCTTTGTGCAACTTGTCAAACATTCTTCCTCTTCATCTTATCTATTTTATAACAATCTGTTCTTTTATGCATGATTTCATCAACGATCTAACACCTCCTAACATTTCAGAATTTGTTATTCTTTAGGAAAAACACCACTATTATACAAAGGCCCTCAGCGGCTGGCAATCTCTGTCTTAAACACTGGAGAACAGAACATATGAAAATTTTTTTTTCATGACAAGGATCTGGAATAGTATTCATATTTGTCTTCGTTTTCTATCTAAATTTATATAATAAGCTCAGTTATGCACGTATTCTGATTGGTTCTCACTTATGATCTATTGGAGGACAAACGTATAGATGACGTTATCATTAAAACTTTTTTTTAATTCTTTATTATATAAAACAAATAGATTCCAAGTTGCCGCAGCGCCTCGTGTGCCACTTTTGATCTATTACTGAACAGACGCACGGCAACTTGGAATCTATTTGTTAAATAAATTTAAAAGAGTATTGCATAGACAGGTACTGAACATTTTGATGTGAGAGGATACTTGTTGACGTCCATGTTTACTTCCCTCCCACCTCGCTTAGCTTCGCTATTTTGCGATAAGGATTGTTAGATGTCTTTTTCATTGCTAAGGTAAATAAATTTTGTTTTTGATTGCTGCAATTTTAATATGGCTATATTTATTTCAGAAGGTTTTTACCGATATACGCTTTTATAGTTATTCAAAATGTTTCTCATAGTAAGTAAACCAATTTAGTTTTCCTAGTTGGTCGTGAATATTAGAATTCGTGAAAGTCGTGAATGTTCCAAGAAAATTGATGTTAGCCTACCCCAGGCATAAATGGAGCGCGAAATTGACGAATCAGAGCACACGCACAATATTGATATTTTCGATTAGCCTCGTACCCAGACTTTTCACGGCCAAGCGTTTCAATTACACGGTATGATCTGGGTACGAGATTGAGTCTCGAGAGGTAACTTCTTCATTCAAATTCAACAGTCTCTTGGGCCAGCCTCTTACACGTCTTCATTGGATATGGCCTTAGAGCGGGTTTTCGATTCTCTGCTTCCTCGGGTATTTTAAGCACATCGTCTCCATAATTTTCCTCTAAATTTGCTTTCCAGCATTTTGGAACTGGAAACACGAAGCCTTCAAATTCCATTTCCTTAAGTGGAAAAACGTCTTCACTCCTTTTTTCACTGACAAACAAATCGATCATGAGTCCGTCATGCCACTTGCAATCGTACAAAAGGCAATAACCATAACAACTTGCCTTATCTCTTAGGCGATGGTTCATTGGACTTAAATAATAACCAATTTCTGGGTGAATCGGAGAAACTACGTCTCGAGGCCTATTAGACAGTAAGTTAGTGTCTGTAAAGGAATTCTGGAAAAAAATATCATCCGGAAGATCTCTGCTTGCTACTTTAAAGAATTTGATGTAGTCCTCCAAAGGCATTTCTATATCGACGTCATGATCCCAGGGAATAAAACCCTTGTGTCTGGCAGCCCCTAAAAGTGTTCCGAAAGATAGCCAATAGCGGATGCGGTGTTTTGTGGCCAAAAGATGAAATATTCGTAGCATTCTGGTCATCACTAACTGGGATTGCCTCAATGGAGTGTTCGCTTTATGGCGAATATCAGGACATAGGATACCTGTGCTACCCATCTCACACAGACCTCCCAGGTCGGTGTAAAGCTTAGGGCACATTGGGCCGATTTCAAGTTCCATGTCACATCTCGGCCTGGCCATGTTTTTGTTTACAGGGACAAGTGTCCGTGGATGTGATTCCAAATAGTGAAGCTCCTCGAAGATTATCACACATAGGATACAAAGAGTTGCCGTGAATATCACCAGTCGATGCCAAATCTTGAAGCTGAACACGAACCGGTATCGAAGCATCTAAACAGAAACAAAGACAACGATCAATGCAGTAGTTGAAAAGTTGTACAACCGGGAACGGTCGCTATTTATCGTCTAGGGGGAAGGAGGGTGCGGATGATTTTAGTTATGCCACAAAAAAAATTTACCTGATCTTCCCCTCATCGGCATTCAGTTAGCAACGACTGATCCCCTATCAGTTCCCACTGAAAACCATGGGTTCCCCCAAAAACTTCCAACCCTCCACCCCCTCCCTAAATAAAATAATGACCGGTCCCTAAAGAATGGTTACTGCACAAGTCTCGGTCGATATCTTTAAGAAATTTTCGATGACCCAATTTTAATTTTTGTATTGTTTTATTTTTGTTTGTGTCTTTGACTCTTGTCAGTCTTCGTTGTCTTAATTACCTTGTATTGTTTTTTGGCTTGTGCTTTTCTAACCGTTGTTAATTTTTTAAATTGTATCACACCCCCCCCCCCCCCCCCCCCCCCCCCCCCCCCCCCCCCCCCCCCTTCCCCTCCGCCCCCTCAACGCATGACAACATTGCTAGGGAGAGCATGCGCACAGTTACACTGATTCTTTAATTAACATGATGCATTATTTCTAGCCAAGAGATTATGATCTCTTGGTCTGGGTAACATCTTTTTAAAGCATCATGAATTTAAGAGGGGAATAAATAAGTTTTTAGATCAGCTCATTTACACTATAAAAACGAATTGCAGTAGTACAGATTTAAAAATCTCACGGATCACTGGTCGACTGAAAATGTTTTCCCGGATTCCTGGTTCTGCTTGTGTATTAGAAGTTAGATTGTGGATTAGATCGTTACACTTCAGTCTTTCTCTCTAAAAACCTTTGATTTGATTTCCTGAATTAAAGACATTTTCTAAAGTCGTAGCGTTAATTCCATTAATCTCACTAATTAAAAAGAGAAAAGTCAAAACATTTTGAGGTAATTAGTAAGCGTGTTTGAGGTTTCGAAAATTTCCCAATAATTGTAGAGCCTCAAATAAATTAGATTGAGGAATCAGCAGAATTTTCGAATCGGGGAGCAACGAATCGTTGGAATGACTTTTCCAAAAGCAGCACAAAAAACTTATCTTATAAACTTATCGATAAAAATCAAATTCGGGTCTCTGAAGACGTTGTCCGCCAAATATAGTCAGTTTTCAAGTAGGAAAATTCTCTTAATTTTGATATTTTTGTTTGCTCATTTGTGGTTTCCGTCTTCCGATTTACAATAAATGAGGGGAATAATGGAAATTCGGCCAGTATCCGCTTAGTATGGTTTCCGATAACTTAATGAGGTTTGTTTCAGATATGACTTGTTACTTACCGTTAGCTGCAATGTCACTCGTAATTTTTTTAAACAGTACGACTTATCGTACCTATATTTGTCTGGCTAGGTGTTGTTTGAACCTGCGTTGACTTTTAACCGTGCACGAGTGGCCCTCCTGCCTCACTTAACTTTAAATTATTTGTTTTGAAAATCAAGGTCAAAAATTGGTGGAACTATTGCATAAGAATTAAAAAAAACTGCATTCACAGAAAGAAATCTTCTGTAAAAACTGCTTTCTTTCGTTGTCAAGTTAAAAAGATAAAAAAAAGATGATTGAATAAATATCACGTACACCTTCCATTCGGTTCGATGCATTGCTGTAGCAACTGAATCTTTTATCAGTTAAAAATATGACTTATGCGTGTCATTTGCTTATACAAATAGGGTATTCATCTCATCGACGTGTGGGACACGAATTTTAGCGTGGGTGGTTTAACGTCAGTTCACAACTATAATTTTTAATAGCCTCGACCCTCGGATCAAAGTAGACTAGATAGTATTTTGATTTCTGCGAGAACACTTACACGATAAGTCTTAGGATCATCGTTACGTTTGGATGACGCTTCGTTATAGGCATTACTGGTCTTGCTTTTCTCTTGATTAATGGTCAGTCTATAATGATCTTAACAAAGGAAGATCATTTTTTCCCGAGACCATCGTCCCTTAGCGACAGGCAAAAAACCTTGACGTGGACAAAAAAAATTTATTCATCTCTCTCTCGGCAAATCGTTAACCTGCAAGATGGCAGTGGAAATTCAATAATGATAAAGATGATAATGACAATCAAAAAGATATAATACTCCAAGAATAATTTATTTTTATCGTCTTTCAGAGATTCACGGTGTTTCTAATTACTTTTTACGGTTTTCAAATTCATTTTGAATTATATCGGAAACACATTACATGCTTCTACTTTTGATGATTTGATAATTTATCAAGACAGTTAAAAACGAGGTGCCATATTCATTAAGGCCAACTGTTCGTCCACTATAAGAATAAGAAGGAAGTACTCGAAATTATTGTAAGATTTGTGCGGCACCGCGTCCGCTAACACGTTGAAAACCATAGCGAAAGCTTACGTGTGTAGGGACGGACGGGTTGACGCGAGCCGGTCCGGAAATGATTAAGCGAAGGGTAAAAAATATTCAACTGAAATCATGTACATTGGTTCATATCGTTGGCAACTTGTGAACGAGACTGATATCATCTTCAAACTGTTACTTCGTTCGCTACATTCGTTTATCCCGCACATATCTTTACCAATAAGAGCAGGAATCAGAAAGTCATTCCAAACATCGCACTATTACGTTTCCAGCGGACACTCCCAGAAGTGTATGTAGCATTTCATGAGGCCTGATGAGTTGTGGCTGACACTGCCCCTACAGGTACACGTGTAGGTTGGCGTGCTAGACTTTGTATCACGTGATAGCAGGTACTGTCTTGCATCATCTGTTGAGCACGTCACTCCAATGATTTTTTTGTTCTGATTGGATAAAAAAAAAAAAAGAAAATGTATTGAGATGAGATGCGCATACGGTTTGTAGACAGCTGTCTTGTAGCAATTACGATAAATTTCCAACTCATCAGCAACAAGAGATAATAGAAGAAAAGGAATTATGTACGACAAACGGCAGATTTTAGTACGTAAAGCCCATAAAAAGTTACCCTGGTTTAGTTTTGCTGAAATTATTTAGAAGAGGTATGGCCTGCTCTGTTTGTCTTATCACTCATTACACGCTCAAAGTGATTCCACAATATTGCACTGCGTTTCATGTGATGCACATATAAATCACGTAATCAGGCAAATGACGCGCGCGCATTCCGAGAACACGATATTGTTTTTCAATCAATAGACCAGTTGAAGAGGTGCGATGGTCATTAGCTTTTAAACGAGCACGGTGACCTATATTTTATATTACAAAATTTGGGTTTATAAATTATCCCCTTTAAATTGCAGAACTTAAGAAAATTCAACCAAAGGAAAAAAGATGAAGCTGAAAGCTCTCACGAAGCCAGTTACTCGATGATGCAAATCAAGGAACGTTTTGAGTCGATATCGTTTAAAACTGCGTGATCTTTCCACAGATTTTTTTTTATACGCTCGAAACTTTCTACCTATCAAGTTTTTTTTATTTCATCCTAAAAACCTTCGCTTTTAGCTACCACAAATGTACCGTGAACCGATAAATAACGCGCGTGATTATTGCCAGTACAGGCACAGAAAGGGCAAGTTTCTTAAACAAGCACGGTGACATATCTTTTTTATTGTATTTTTCAAAACAGACATATATTGGTAGGGAACATTTAAAGAAATTTTTTAAAAAGATTGTGCGATAACCTTTTTTTTCTGAGTGATCACCCTAACTTGATCTCATGATATCTAGTAAATTTTAAACGGCAAAAGACAGTAAACTTACAGTTGTTTCGACTACGCTAATGGCCGTGTTAGCGTATGGACCACTTGTCGTTGCTGAAGAATTACTCCTATGTTGACAAAGGCTGAGGTCGTGTACACCGGGAGGTGCCTTGGCTCCTTTTGGTCCAGGTGTTCCAGTATCCCCTTTAGGGCCCTGAGTTCCGTTGTATCCTTGCGGACCACGGAAACCAGGGACACCTGGAAGTCCCTTAGGGCCAATAGCACCGGTGATTCCGGTTTTTCCTGGAGGGCCAGGAGACCCCTGAGGACCTTGAATTCCTTGGGGACCTGGGGGTCCTTGTAAGCCCAAGATCCCTGGGGGACCGACTGGTCCTGGTGGTCCCTGAAGCATGGTACCACGGGGATCTGTTTTATTTACCTGTAAAGCAAAATCAGTGATTCTAATTTTTCTTAATGAATGGCATAAAGGAAGTCTTATTTTATCGTCCATTGCTTCTATGGGCTAAAGATTAGATTTTTGTACATGTTATACTACCATGCCCAAGCAGGGGAAACAGACCTCTTACAATTCTTGATGAAATAATCGGAGACACCAGCCTTGTCTAAGAAGGCCCCAAACTTGTAATGTCCTGTATTGGCCAATGACGCAGCATCGCGTCGAAGATTTTGACAGCAGATAGTGTTTGATGATGACGATAGTTGAACTTGCGCGCTGTTTGGATTAAGGCGAGCAACGACTAACCCACCCGTTTTGATATCCTTTCCTATTGAAAGTCTACTTTCTTAAGGTTTATAAATGGTTTCTGGAGCAGGATGTTTGAAAAAGGTCTGGTGTCCTCTTGAACCGCACCACCCTGTGAGTCATCCCAGTGTCATAATTGGTACTTCGAACGTAATGGACCATTTCAATACCGTCAAGCAAAGGAAATATCTTCAACAAACAGAAAAGAAAAACTCACAATAGAAAACAGATTATCCAGTCTTCTTTTCTGAGTCGTCAAGGTGACATTCAATTTGTTTTCAGTTTTTTTCAGCTCATGCATTGTGTTTTGCAGCACAGTTATAGCATTTCTTATCAAGGCTTCGTTCTGACTAAGTCTTCCTAACTCTTGCTTTAAACCATCAGCTGTGCCCTTTATAACAACCTGTGATGGTGGTGGTAGTTGTGGAGTTTTATTTGGAGGTTTATTTGGAGTTGTTTCTGTTAAAAAAAAAAGGAGATTAAAGATGGAATTCATGGAAATAAGATGACAAAAAAATACTTGCTAACTAAGGATAATCAGCAAGGAATCGAATATCCTAAATGTCACTGAAATAAATATGTCATTTGGTGTGACTTTAATCTGATTTCTTTCAACGAAAGAAAGGGCAAAACACTTACAAAGTACTATGCTTTTGATTAAGACGCCGAAATTATCTTGTGTCGAGCTAATTGCATCAATTGTCATAACCTTTTTTTTCCGGGAACCATCGAAATTCTTAAAAATCAAAACATGAATTATAATTTAATGGCTAATAATTGAAATTGGCTCCAATTTTCATTCATCAGTCTTACTTCTGTGATATCGGCATCAGTTAAAATTGTTATCTGGTTTGACCAATTTCGCCGGTCTGAAACGTACCACAGGACGCTGACGTCATCTTAATCTTAACGTCAACATTAAATAAGTTACTTCAGCTCGTTCTTCAGTTGTATGACGCACATCAAAAAAAATATCAAGTACACAGTATCTCGCTGATAAAGTGTATTCGAGGACTTCACACTTGTGAGTGTCTGAGAATTGTAATTATTTTGTGATGTTTACGTTATCCATTGTTAGACGACAATAAACGTCTAGATTACTCTAGTAAACTAAGTCGTGTTTTAAATGAAGCAAGTTACCTGGAACCTGCGAAATGGTTTCCCTTGGTTTTCTGAGAAGAATCCAGATATCTAACAGCAATGAAATCAAAGTTAAGACAATGAAAATTACGACAAGAACACGTAGCATAAGAAGCTCATTTCGCATGGTCTTCTGTTCTGCTTGATCTAAACTACAAGCAGATCCTATTGCTGTCCTCGGAGTGTAGAGATTTGTTTCCCATCTCACGCATCCGGTTGTCCCTTGCTTTATGCTGCGATCCAACTACTATAATTCCTGTTTGGCGAAGAGTCGAAGAAAAGAGGTGCAATTAAATTAAACACTGGCTTGGCACATGAAGATAAAAAAAATTGTTCGTTGAAAAAACATAACAGGTTGTCTGAATTTAGGAAGTAAACAAACTGGTTGTTGGATCCGGCTCACACCGGATAAAGGTAAAGTGAAATACTTCGAATGTGACTGCCGAGGGAAGTTAGGATTCTTTTAGGATGCAAGGACGGTTTTTATTGCAACAAAAGGCCATACTAAATTTCTATAAAAATATGAAAATCATTTGTGAAAAGGATCAACAGTTGAACAGGTGGTTTATACCTGTTTTGTGCTTCTATGTATTGCCTCAAATCAAATAGAGTGTCCTAAAACTATCCTGGGTCAATAATTCGCTCCTCACTAATCTTTCTGTGCTAAAGTATATTTGGCATCGTTTTGAAAAGGGCAGCAAATAGCAAAGTTTTTGGAAATGTTCATATTAAAAATCTCCCGAGAGAGTGTTTCGTATAATCACCAAAAGTGTAGCTTCAGGCTGGAATTTTCCATCAGAAAGATAAATTTTCTTTAATTCAAATTCTTACCCCAAAAAGATTTAGAATACACTGCAAGCCACATCAACTTACTTCTAGAACACCTCTTCGGATTCTCTATAAGGTGAGAAAACAAGCCGAGTAAAACAGATTGAATGATTAGTGATCATTAAAAGTGTTCTTCATTATTTTCAAATGACCACCACGAAAATATCAAAATGTTTTATCTCTGCATCACCTCAGTAGGGATCACTTTAGTAGTCCTAAGTCAGAAATAAGCTGATAGAGGTGATAAAGATCTGCCTTTTACCAGTTTAGCTGGCAGCGTATGATTACAGAATAGACCTTGTTTGAGTCAAGAGAGGATGAAGGTATGAAATTGGAAGCTCCTAGTTTAGATCTTGGCATATTTCAATTCTACTTTGGTTCTTCTGGAGCACTAATCTATTTTCTGGGATGTAAGTGGAGCCTCATCTCGATCTGATGTTCTGAGTAAAAAGAGTTCTGTGTCAGATAGCGTATAGATTTATTTCTGTCGATGAAAACGACTTCCAAAAAGAAGAAAAAATTATAATTTTTCGTCAGTGTAGGCTCACGTTGTGGATGTTTTGGGAAACAAAATAACTTTTCCACCCGGGACTGACAACCATTTCATTAAAATCGACATATTCTGCTTAACATCCAGCTTGTTCTTAATTATCTCCTTTTTCTCACTGCTCTAAAACTTTACTCTGTTGTTCGCAACAAGATTGGAGGGTCGCTGATGAGCACAGAAGTGACCGATATCAAATGTGGCTTCAAATCCTTTCAATGACTTACTCGAGTCTAATTTAACAATACGTATTCCTTTATGAATGTAATGCAGCAAGGAGCTGCTTTTCTGAAGCGCGGAAAAATCCTGGAATAGATAAGTTTTATTCGAGATAATGTGCTTTTTATTGGGGTGGCATTTACAGAGAGGCCAACTATCCAACTGATTACTGCGTAAATGCTCGTGACGCATGGTGGGTTTGGACAACTGAGAATTATTTATAGACTTTTATAGTCTTTTATTTGTAGTTCATATTTTATCCGCATTTTTCATCAATCCTAAGGATTTTTTGTTCCTCAGCGCACCATGTCTGCTAATTATCGACTTATTGTTATTTATTTCAATCTCTTTTTCTTAGAAATCGTTATATCAAGGTTCCCTGAGGGTTATGTTCGAGCATCCCTAATTTGATGTTTTATAGCATGCCGTGACCTTAACGTCATTCAAATGCACCCCTCCAGCTATTCGTATTTACCTACCAAGTATAAGTTAACGTCAGCACCGCTCAAGGAAATAGAATTTTCCCTTGAGGTCAACAATGGCACTCAGAGTCCTCGAGCTTCCAACAAACCCACCTGGTTAAGGCCAAATTAATCCAATTGGTCCGCTAGGTGTGCTGGGTCTCCAAGGCGTAGTTAGTCCGCCAGTTGTGCAGTGTCCTCCAGATCATAGCAGATCTCAAGGTCCCTTAGGTCCCATTGGGTCTTCACATGCTCAGAGTCTGCAGGGTCTTCAGGGTCCAACAGGAATTTAAGGTCCATAAGGTTGCAAGGATGAACCAAGGTAATAATGAGCAGGACTCGGAACCTGCCCGGCTTGGTAACTCCCACTGAAGAAGCTAAACAAGCTCTCGGATGGAGGTGTCTTTAGTTCAATTAAATTTTATAACTTTCCTATAAATTTCAAGTTTCGGATATTTAACCTGACGTGGAAAGAGGTTCGCTGAAAACCTACTCAAGCTAACACTAGTTGGTACAACCATGCATTGTCAAGTGTGTGTGCGCGTGTGCTGAAAGTGGCCTTGACAGTTCATCCAGAAGTCTTTGTATATTAAATTGATAAAGATTCAATCGCTGATCGCACGCAGGTCACGGGGATGTATCAACATTTGTAAATATACCAAGCCAAGATATTTATAATACACATACGAAGGGTTAACGCTAGAAACGTCAGCTTTAAAACTCTTTATGGTGGCCAATTTACATTATCAACGCAGTTGATAAATCTAAATTATCTAGCTAAACTCCCCCGCCGACGCAGCACCAGAGTTTCTTTAAAAGCTCACCCTTTATTAAGATATTCATGAAAGCTCTTATGTCAGTCGTTGAAAACTCAATCAGCAATTGGGAGTGACAAATATTTTCTTTTTCTCAACAGAAACTTTTAAAGGCTCACAGTTATTGATGTGTTGTTAAACAATCCATATTGCAATATTGAAAAATGAAGTCCTGTCAATCAAAAAACAAAGAATTAAATTTTAATAAAGGAGAGACAAATTCGCACCATTTGTCCCAATTTATTTTTTAGGTCTGTGACATTATTCATGTAAAATCAAATTGCCTGCTTCTAAACCATTTTTCATAGATTTCGAGAGTCGCAACGAGTTATTTGATAGACCTTGCTCATTGAAATAGTTGAACAAACTTTCTGAAATACGTTCAGCAATGTTAAAACGTACTGTTTTAGTGTTTACCGTCATGTTTAAACTTATGCATTACCAAGCAACCCAAGACAGTAAATTTTATGTTTTTCTAACTTATATTTAGATCAGTTCCTCTGATAATAACTCATTTGCCCACTTGCATTTAATGGTCCCCATTCATCGACATGCGAGTGGAAGCTTGGTTCTTCTTAAAGAAACGCTAGTTTC